TCATTTTTATAAAAGTGAAACTAGCTTTGATGTTCCGGAATTATGAGTTGGAATAGAGCTAGGAGCGTCGTTTGCAGTGAAACGTGGGTGAAAGTAGCAGGCGTGAAAAAAAATGAACGTTCCGTGCATTGTAGCTAAGAGGAAGAGTAAACTCGATGAATGCCTTTTGGAAATTAGCGAAACCATTGGGTACAATAATATAATTTACTTTCACAGGTTGTTCAACTCTTATTAAATTTTACTTACTCTCATTACTTCTTATATGATTACAAATCATTTACTATACACTTCCTGCTCTTTATATTAAACTAATTAAGAAGGTTCAATAAATTCTGAAGTTTATTCCTATCGAGATTTAATCAATTTTTCATTCATTTCGAAGAGGAATCGTGAGAATGATGGCTCAGTCACGAAATCTGGAAGAAAGCGAAAGTTCGAATACACGTGGTTCTATCGTTAGTGACACTAGAATAGAGTTCGGTCAATGGTTGTTTAAAATAGAGAGAGAGAGCGAGAGATGCCCGATGACGCGACACGCCTCTTCCATGCACGACATACGATCGGTTTTCAATGGCAGGTATGTTTCTTTGAAAGTCGTCCACTCGATCGACGCAGTTATCCCGGTAATTGCAGTAATCCCTGGCTTGTTGCTTAACGAACCCTCCAACGAGTCAATTAAGGGTCCGTCAACCCTTCTAGACCGGTTACGAAACACTTGAATACGTCTCGACGTCGAGGATACATATAGAAAAAATTTATGCAAATTGAACTTTCAGTTTAATACATTTTTAGATATTCCGTATAAATACAGTATTTATTATTTAATTCAACAATCCTTGCTATAATTATTCGAAGATAGAATATAATTTTCATTATAAAATTCTACAACAGCTATTTACTAAATAATTTTATTAAAATAAAACAGTGATAACGATGAAATCATGGAATCGCACTGAATGATAATTCAAGATAAACGATGGAGCATTTCGGGGAAGTTGTTAAAATAGTGGAACAGTAAATTAGCCGATTCTTCTTCGGTGTGGCAATTCATCGGTGGCTAATATTTTAATCGAGCGAGTGAACAGTACAAAAGCATGGTCCGCGTTTAACTTCTCGCGGTGGTAGATTCAATTACGATCCCATCCCATTGTCTCCCGGGGACAAACGATTCGAACAAAGGCGGCGACTGTTGAATTGGACGCCATCGGTGCCCGGCATGGTTTCACCGTTCAGAACGTGGAAAATTAAAAATCAAACTGAGAAACGGTCCTTCCAATTTTCAGCCTTTCATCGATTAAACTAGACGATTTACGATCGAGGAAGTTAATTTAATAACAATTAATGAACTGTTCGCAGATATCGTAAGATGACTAATTAAACTGTCACTGATCATGTTTTCCATGATTTATTTATAGAGAGGAATAGTATAAAGAAACAGTCGATGTTCATAAATTTTATAATGATCAAGGTTTGTTATTCCGTTAACGCAAGAATGATTCACTTAAATACTTACTTCACAAGAAACAGAATAATTTAGCATTTTTAAGTATTCTTAAGATTGCACGAGAACTCCATATATAATGACTCTGTCACATTTGCTCTTTAATGTAATCTGAGGATAAACATGATTAAAAATAGAAGTAATGCTTAGGAAGAAATGAACATCTTTCAGATTCAACAACTATTTATACTTCAGAAAAACTTCATGAATATTGATAATTTTCAATAAACATCCAAGGAGAGAATTCTTAAAGGATAACAAGAATTTTTATTAATATTTCGTTTTTTAGATCGTTTATGATCATCGTTCTTGCATGCGAGACCTCGTCCTAATAAAATCTGTTTCAGGTGCTGACGGTGACGTTGTGCCTAGGCGCGATGCTTCTGGGAGCCTCGAGCTATTGCTTGACAGAGTTCCAGCAACGGCGAGCCTTTTTGGAGACCAGGCAGAGCCTCGAGGTTCAACTGGTGATCGAGGAGCAGAGTGCCGAGCAGGAGAGGCTTCTGCTCAGCGTGTTGCCAGAACACGTGGCCGTGAAGATGCGGCAAGACCTAGGCGCCTCGCTCAACACTCAATTCAAGAAGATCTACATGTCTAGGCACGAGAACGTATCCATACTCTACGCGGACATCGTCGGGTTCACCGCAATTTCATCCACTTACAGTGCCAGTGAATTGGTGAAAATTCTGAATGAGCTGTTCGCGAGATTCGATCAGCTCAGCGAGAGGTAAGGAATAAATTCTTATTGATGAGAATTTATTATTTTAAAATAAATTATCCTGTTTAGTAGTGGATAGGTGTTCCTTTGAATTATTTATAGCAGGACCAAAAATTGTTATTGCTTTTTAATAGAATCGCTATTAGGGTTTGAACCTTATTATTAGAACACGTGTATGTGCGATTGAGCTGGCGAGGGTTTAGAATTTATTATTAGACGATCGTTGCATGTAAATAACAACAAAATGATGGTTTCGTCCACTGTTCATAAATTTCTATTGAACCTCATTTCGCATAAAACGAATTGCATTATAATAAAATATTTCAGTTGAAAAATTAAATCATAATAAACATTGTCATGTTAAATTAAGAAAGTGAAAGAAAGCGTATAGTTTAATTAAGAAAATAATGTGAAAGCATGCTTAGAAATCCTTGAACCTCGTATTATGAGTTCTCGTTTGCTTTTATTTGGAAATTCTAATTCTAAAGTCGAGGTGAACCGGATTCCATTTTCTAAACTCGGTTTTCCCAATGTTTTCGTCTCGGATCGAACTGCTGTCGATAAACGGCGGCCGAGTGTCGTGGGACAAACGGATTAATCGACAGCCAAGCTATCGACGAGAAGAATTCGTTCGTTTATCGTCCACTCGGTGGCCCGAATAGAACGGGGCTTTCACGAGCCTCGTAGCATAATGAAAATGGAATTCCTGGAATTGCCAGGCCGCGAAATTCATTTTATCGCGGGATTCCGTTTGGTTTCTTCCTGTCGAGTACCCTGTTCGAGCGAGAGTCTTCCGCGGGTTGTCTCGAATCAATACCGACGTCAAAGCGGTGTTGTTAACTTTCCATCGCGTGATACATTTCTCATCGAATCGTCTCCACGCTCTAATCACGTAACAAAATTATTGGATAGGCTCTAACTGTCCCGTGCACTGTAATTTCGTTGAGATAGAGCCTTGATAATTGATGGAGCGAGTAGTAAGAAGAACCCTTCGTTAGAAATGTAGTTTGATTGGACGTCATATTATTCTTTAAAGAAAAGAGTACAATTATCGTTTTGATTGATATTAGAGTCAATGTAAAATTATAGTATAGAGAATCAACTATCAAAGGCTGCTGACAATTTTGATTGATATTAGAGTCAATGTAAAATTATAGTATAGAGAATCAACTATTAAAGGCTGCTGACTATTTGTTAATTCTTTTCATAATGCACTTTTTATTATTTCATTTATTTATATCAACGACAACTAATAATCAATTATCTGAAAGTGATGCGTCGAGAAATTATTGATACTGTTATTTGAAAGGGAAATGAGATTGCGAGCACAAAAGAATGTTTCCGTGTGGCAGGGAATCGATGTAGGTATAACACAGCTCCACTCAAGATGCCCCTTGACATATACTTTTCTCCCATTTGGCAAATAGCAGTAGCGCAAGTTGAAAAATTAAATCCTCTACCCGCTGCCGTCCTCAAGCGAAATCCGTGCCACTCAACCCCGTTTCCATGCGAATGCTTCAATCAAATTCCCGGCACGGGCTGGGTCACCATTTTAAGACGCACGTTCGATAATTATGTACCTTTAATAATTTTCTACGTACAGACTGAATGAATGAGAGCGGCCATAGAAAATAATTGATTCTTAGAAAAACGAATTTCCTATAATTAAAAAGAAATCTGACGTCGGAAGAACAATGCTAATAATAAATAGCTACGTGCTAAAAAATATAGAAGGAAATATCCAATTAATTATTGACGCTGGCGAAAAGCTTTTTATATAGAAGTTGTAGGC